AAGATGATCTTTAAAAACATTATGGTAAATTAAATAAGTGAGTCACAAAAGAACATATACTGCATGATTCGATTCAAATTAACTGTCCATACAAATAAATTCTGTAGAGATCAAAAATAAAGTAACATTTCCGGGGTCTAAGTGTAGGGAATAGTGGGGAATGGCCTCTTAAGGACATTTTGATTCCTTTCTAGGGTGGTTAAAATCAATCTTCCCCTTTCTCTATGTATTTTCCTTTCTCTGCAATATCTGTATAACCAAGAAGAAGGCTCATTTTTAGTTTTTAGAATATTGGGCAATTTCTTTTTTTACAATGCAACAAAGCTGAATGCAGACAAGCTTTACATTGCACCTAACCATATGGAAGGCACAGAGTAAAGTCCTTCATTTGTATTGGTTAATGTAATTCTCACAGACCCCTTAAAAGGTCAAAGTATCCCCAGTTCTCCAAATGGGGTAAGTGGAGCTCAGAGAGCCTTAATGATTTTGCCCAACGTTCACTGGTGGAAGCCAGATTCCAACCCAAGTCTGGTTGGATGTAAAACCCTGCTGAGTTGACATTCCTCTCTCAATTAAAAGAAATTGCTCTGTGACTTTTCTATTTCATCCTGGTTCCAAATTATTCTAGAACTTGCTCAAATGAGTCATTCTTTTAAAAATACTACCAAGTTCTCCTTGGGAGAAAGAGTGGGGAGTAGGGAAAGAAGGCAGAAGAGAAACCAAGAGAAGAGCAGAGAGACTGAGGAACTCAACTGAGTGCTGAGGGTTCCCAATCCCAACCTCGCTATGGCTGATCTTGCATTTTCAGGCTGATAACCTTGGTCTTCTTTTATTTAATTAGTTGTGCAACTTTTGGAGAATAGCAAGTTGTGTCTCAGTTCAGAATTCTTCAGTTAGGTGGTGCAGTAATTGCTTCAGGCTCACAAAACCAAATAGCCTGCTTCTGGATGGTAAGCAACCATGAAACTCAGAGAAATATAAAGAAATACACTGTTGCATGATATTAATGCACTTGTTCTCAAAACAAACCTCTGCTTCTATGTATACAGTTGACATTTTTTTGGAGATATTCAAAGCTTCTGAGATTTTTATTTTTTCTTTTATAACATGTTGCTATAGTCATACAAAGAATACATGAAGCATGTAAGTTATACAGCATAACAAGTGAATATTCATGAACCTTAAAGAACCACCATTGTCAGACCCAACATTGTATCAGGTCTAATAGAATGCAAGCTCAGTAAAGGCATGGAATTTTGTCTGTTTTGTTCACTGTTTCATCCCTCAGTACCTAGAATGGTACCTAGTATGCAGTATTGGTTTAATATTTTTTAAATGAATGCCTAAATCTATTTGCATCATCCTTTGTCAGAATGAATCTCCCCTCAGAACTATATTATTCTACACTTCTGCTTATGATTCAGTAGGATTTTGATATTTTTCATATGTATGTTTCTAAGTAACATATTCTTTCTGATTCTTATTGAAATTCATGTAATATAATTATATGCATGCTTTTGTGAGTTAGGTATGTTATATAATATTAACATGAGAGATAAACCTATGTATGGCATTATCCTGTTTCTTGTCATTATTGAATTTTTTTATTGAATAAATGTGCTTTTTTATCCTTTCTTCTATCAGTGGATGTTTACCATTTATGCTTTTATAATAAAACTACTATGAGCATTCTTGCATGTGCCTCCTGATACATATGCACATGAGTTTCTCTGAGATACAAACCAGGAGAATAACCGCAGCTGTAATTTTCATTTCCAACTCCCAAAGTTTAGCTCATAAGTCAGAACTGCAGTGTGACCTTTGGCCACACTAAACCAGGGTGAGGTGGGTACTGTTTAAAATATTTTGAAAGGGGGAGCACAGAGAGAGAGAGAGAGAGAGAGAGAGAGAGAGAGAAATTGGTAAGAAGTTACCTCAGGTCTCTAGTTAATGTGAACTGTAGTTCATAAAAGTCCATATTATGAAATGCCTTTTATTATTTCTCCATTTATTCATTCTTAATAGTTATTTTTGTGCAAAGCATACTTTATTAAACTCAAATTTAATAAAAATGTTGATTATTTTAGTCTTGATTATAAACCTGTTTAATATTTTAACCACTTTTAACTGTATTTTTTTGTCTATTTGAGGCAGGGTCTTATTATACAGTTTGGGCTGGCCTTGAGCTCATTTTGTAGCCCAGGCTAGTCTTGAACTCGAAATGAACCTCCTGCCTCAGTCTCCCAAATGCTGGGATTATACGTGTGCACTATCATGCCTTGCTGTTTAACTGTATTTTAAATTTCAGTATATATATATGATGTTTTAATAATAACATTATGTAGCTTACCCTCGTAAGAAAATTTAATTGGAAATTTTATGTTGTGAAATTACACAGCAGAGCTCTACAACTCACTCATCTTCCTTAAATGAAACTGTATACCTACTGAACAGCAATTTCTAAGTTCTATTTCTTAAAGAATTTTTACCAAAAAGACATCTTATTTGTTCTCAGTGTGTTTCCAATTTGCTTATCTGATATTTATTTCATAATCACTATTGTTGTCATCCTCTAATTTACCCATTTTGATGCCTTATATCTTTCAAAAAACAGTCTTGTCTTTGAGGTGCCTTTTTATTTTAGCAGTCTGCACTCTGCTTTAGAATATCACTTACTATGTTACTTTGTTCTTTGCTTCCTGTCTTTCTTTATTAGATGATGACTTGTGGAGGGGAAGGAAAGAAACATCATGAGCTATGTCAATAGAATCTAGTCTGTGCCTCATCAACAAAGCTAGGAGATAAAAGTTGAGTTGAACCAATCTACCTAAATGTCAACCTTTAGTCTCATAACATAGCTTGTCAATGGTTAGCAATCTACACTTCGGAGTCGAACTATTAATATGAAATCCTTGGATTGCCATTTACCAGACATGATTTTAGGCAAATTTTCTCAGTTCCTGGAACAGTAGTTTTTCTTTGGCAATATATGGATAATACAGAACTATAGGGGTGACTGTTGGGAAATTAAATGAGATGATATGTTTTAATAAATGGCTTGGCATGTGAATTGCCTGAATACATGTCTTCCTGATTTTATTTGAACTGTTTGCATTAGTTACAGAAGTTAAGAAAGTGGGGAGAGAAAGATACTGGTCAAATAAATTGTACTACTTCTTGTTTTATGATTGAGGATAGGGACCCAATCGTTACCCTAGTAAATGACATTTTAGCTAAGAGAATGACTTTCTTTGCAGTTGACTGAATTGCATGTTGGAAATGAGTTCCTTTAGAATATATGGCCTTGCTAACCTTAGTAGAGTGGGCCAACTCCTGCTAGCTTTCTTACTACATTAGGAAAAAGAAGGCATGAGAAGAGAGAAGCTAGGCCACTATAATAAGTGGCTAGGTTTGCATATCTACATAACATTTTGAGTGTTTTCTGTTGTACTTGGGGCTTAAATAAAGGCTGATATTTGGGTGTTGGAGATGAAGTCCTTGTAAAATATAGCCTCAGGAAAGCTTTCTTTGCTATGGTTCTGTCAGATTTGCTCACTTGCAGTTAAGAGGAGGATAAACTTTGATGCTTTTGCTAGATTCTGATGTCTATGTTGAGCATGATAACCAGAGAATCACTGGTAGATAAAAAAATTGAGCAATGGGAAGACAATACAGTAAAAGAGGTTGTGTTGGATTTGGAGTCAAATAATCCTGGGCTTGGTATCAAATCACCTGGGCTTGTCTCCTCTGAGTTTTACTGTTTCATCTATACAATGGATACACTAATGAGAAAATAAGCTTGTCTCACCAAGTTGTTGTGAAGTGTTGAAATCATGTAGATAGTAAATAGGATCCTATTAGGGATTATTTTCCTTCCTTCTGTTTGTAAGAAAGATGTACTCATGAAATATAAAAGTTGCATTCCTGTGGATGAGATTGTAGACATTTTTCATCTATATGAAACAAATTAACCCATAAATTCACTTGAGTTTTGGTTATCGCTAGACATAAGACATTGGAAAGACAAAAGCTGACCCTTGATTAGTAAGACCCATTTGCCATCTCTTTGAACTTGATTTAAGCACTGTGGGAAATTAAGAATCACTGTTCTCTGAAGGTTTTAAGATTGCCTTTCTAGCCCCTTCCCTTTGCAACCAACTTGAAGAATTCAGGCACAGACATTCTTAGAGATAGGCAGTGACCCTACATGGATGGCCTGCTGAGTGTTCACATTTGCACAAGGAATTCCTGAGTCTTATAACAACCAAATATTTTGATAGCAGCCCAAAAGATTTTTCATGTCATTGTATATAATTTCTGAACAAAAACATCAGATAGAGATTCTGCTACTTTTAAAGTGTGGACAAGAGGATGCCAATATGATCTAGAAAGATTTCTAAGGAAAGGGAAGGAATGAAAAAAAGCAATGAAGAATGGTACAATAATATTTATGTAATAATTATGACACTTCCTGTGTATATTCATCATAAGTACTACTGTCTTATTTGTATTGTCACTTACTGTAGGAACTCAGAGGGTGGATGTATTATCCCAATTTTACAGATGAGATTTTAGACTCAAGAAACAAAAGAAAGGACATAAAATCATTTTGATATTGGTTGGTTTGGTCATAAGTCTTCTTATGGGTGAGGTAAGCTCATAAGGTGATATTTCATTACTTTGAAAATTTTGCCTGAATACCACCTTAAAATTAGGTAGCTTAACCATACACTTCTTGCTTTCATTTTTTTCCCTCACATGGATAAAGCCTTTGCGACTTGTTAATCCCACAGAATTTCTCTTATCCTTCATCAGGCTCCACACTAGAGGAAATCCTGCAAAATTCATCCTCAGAAATCCCATGAAAATTCAGCTTGACTCACTTGAGCAATGAATTATAACTTATCCATATGGTTTACTGCTAAAAACCTTAGGATTTTACTCTCCTATTTTTGTCACCCATTAACATGTGTTGCTTTGTTTTCTGTGTGTCTTTCCAGTTTGGAAAATGCCAGGGACCATGTTTTGCCCATTGACTATTACTTTCCACCCCAGAAGACCTGCCTGATCTGTGGGGATGAAGCATCTGGGTGTCACTATGGAGCCCTCACTTGTGGCAGCTGCAAGGTCTTCTTCAAAAGAGCTGCTGAAGGTAAGTGTCTTGTACATTCATTTCTATTTCTCTTTCCTCATTTTATCTCAGAGAGACATACATACCTTCCAGCACCCACGATCATGTCAGGAACATGGTCTTTGGCAGAGCGCTCTCATAGAACCTATGAGCTAAAGAAACAAATTTTCATACTTGCTAGTCACTTGGTTTGGGCTTCCTTAGTTGTACAGGCAATGCAGGTAATAAAGGTGGTCCCATCTGGTGCTTGGTTCTTGGTGAGTCCTAGGAATGAAAGACAAATTAATGATTCGAAAAAATAATTTTCTTCCTGCTTGTTTTCCACTCTTCTGCCTATTGAGGGAAAACTTGTTCTTATTAAAAAGGTTAGAAGTGGAGAAATTCCAACTGAGTCCCTAGCTTGTTCTCTGTGGTGAATAGAAGATTGTTCCTCAGCAAAGATTTCCTGGCCTCAGGCTCATAAAGAAAGTGTTCTCAGACCATCAGTTTCTGCACCTGCTCCCTCCTGCTGCTGTCTCCTTGGGACCTTTCTTTGCATTAATAGCTCCTAGATAAATAAGAGTCCAGAGCAAAGGGGCACTTATATCTTCCTCACCTGAGGTCTGACTCTAGATTGGTCCAGAATCCCAACTAAGTAACATTTTATATGTAACTATGTGGGCAGAGGCCTGCCTCCTTAGTTGTATTTAGCTTACAACAACTCATGTTTGCCTAGCACCTAAAAGTAGTCACTTTATATCGTATAGCAGGATCCCACCTATTTCTAGACTTGTTATATATGCTAGTGACTCCTTACTTCCTAACCACTTTGGGCGTAAGCCTCATATTAATCCATTCCACTCCACTCCATGTACTAAGGACTTTCTTCTCAAAAGGATACTAATGATCACCCCATAGAGCGAGAAACTGTACTTTGGAACCACACCAGTAGTTACACACCAATAGGCACCCCTGCTTTCACCTCCCACAAAAGAGATACTTTCTAATAAATCCTTTTTCCTTCTTTCTCCCTTGACTAATCCAGTACTAGTCAGAAGCAAAACAGAGAGCCTTTCCTTGTGTAGTAGCTACAAACCATAAGCAGAGTTTTAAAAGACATATACGTAAGCTATACCTTTCACCACGACCATGCTGATAACCAGGAGAGGATAGCAGAAGTCTCAGGGACTTGTTGGCATTGAGAGAAAAAAGTAGAAAGTGAGTGCCCCTTAACTGGTTTCTTTGTTGATAGCCAATCATAAAGCCAATCATCAATTCAGTTAGATAGTAGGAATACATATAAAACAGAAAGGTCATTTTGGGATTTTCTCCAGTTACCAAAACCATAATGATGCAACTCGTATTTTGTACACTAAACACATGCTGCATATTCCACTATATCAATACATTCCCCATTGCTGCTGTTCATACCAGGCTAGTATGAGGTTCAGGGCCCCAGGATCTAGGCCTGTGCTGTTTAGAAAAGCCTGAGGACAGTATATGTCTTAATAGTATTTGTGAAAGTATGTCTCATAAAAGGTACTAAGGAGAAACTCCATGGACTTCAGAGCACTCCAACTTCCCCAGTAGAGACCCTAATACTTCATATACCCTCATGCCATCATCCCACATGGCCTGTCTCTAGAGCAGGGAATGAACCAGAGCAGTTATCTAGAGCTGGTGTTTCAGCAAGCCTGGCACCATGGTAGTAGTTGTATTGGATAGGGAGTAAGTTCAGGTTAGCAAGGGAACAGGCAAATTCAGTAGTGAGATCAAATTATATTTGACGTAGCCTCTGGGTTTTACAGATTTGGTTCATCAGATTGTTTCAGAAAATAGGAGAAATAGCCAACCATATCATGAAGGAGGTTTTACTGTCATTTTATATTTTGCACATGGGAGCTTTCTGCGGATGTTAGGACTGAAGGAAAGAGGTACGCAGGAGGGACTTTGAAGTGCTACCTGGCAAGAGCTGTGCTATGACATAGATTCTGGGCTCTATGATAGCAGGAAAGGAAAGATGAAGTACAGGGGTGGGGGTCACACAATTTAGAGAGCACTTTGAAATCCAGTGAGGTCTCAAAATATTTCAAACCCATGAGTCACTTGTATTAGGGAAACTCTGTAGTATTTTCTTTGATAAAATGACCACCTGTGAGCTCATGAGACTAAAGTTACCAATTGATTCCTTGAAAAGTCATGGAGGGGAAATTTTCTGAGCTCTTTGGTTGCACTGGAGTATGGAATTTAGATTCCAGTTCTGAGCCCTTTGAAGAATATGAGAAGGCAGGTCATAACACACACACACACACACACACACACACACACACACACACAAACACGCATGCATGCATTCACAAAAAAATTATTTTTCTTTCTCTTCCCATCTGTACAAGTCAGTGGCCTGAGTTTACTACCATCATTTTCCCTTTTGTAGGCAATGTCTGTCTTATTACTCAAAAATAACATTTATTGATTTTTTTCCCATTTCTACAATGCATCTTTATTGCTCAGATGTCCTTTCTAAAGCAGTGCCTTGTTTAAACTTGGAATTCTACCTGCTTTGGAAAGAGTAGAAGCACAAATCTTTCTCTTCTTCCATTGTTTCTTTTTGTCAGTTAACTCAGACTGAGTATTTGGAGTGCTGATTATCACTTTAGTCACAGTTTTCATAAATTTCTGGACTGGACACAAAGTACAAGAGTTAAAAGTCTGTCATGTCAGACAGAAATTCATTTCTAACTTTGGTGGTTCATAAAGTATGAAGCTCAAATGCTGTCACTAGTGGAAGATTCTACACAATCATTTGTAATCTGACCAGGTCTTGCAGGGGCAGTACAGGGGGAGACAGCTCTGCATTTTCTCATTGTTAGTAATACTAGAGATTGAAGCAAGACTGTGGCTAGGCAGAGAAAGAGCTACATATTTTTGATGGAAGAAATAATGGTGTTAGACATTGGGTAAAATCATAAAAATTTAGTTGAGGAAAAGTCAGTGTGTCAGGCTGTGTGTGGATATGGCTTGTGGGTCAAAAACTGGCATGACTAGAAAAACTGCTTTGTGGAGGAGTGGGTAGTATAAGTGGTGAGATGAATGGGAGGGCATGTTACATACTAAGAGGCCAAGAAATCAACGGAAGGTGATACATTCACCTATGCAGCGGCTCAAAGAAGTATGTGTAGTCTTAGATATGAAATTTTCCCATTTGAATCCCAGTTTGAAAAATAGGGGAATTGAATTAGATGTTCTTAAAATAGCCTCCCAGTTTGGTCTTTTTGTATAAATTACAAGCATCATCACCATTATTTTAGCAACAGATGCGTTTATCCCTGAGTGCCGTTCTGCTTTTGTCTTCCTAGCTAATGGTAAGTCCCAGAATCTAATCAGTAAAAAGTCAGTCTTCAAATGGAGTCAGAGCCAGCTGACCAAGTGCACTCCTAATGGGCTGGATTAAAACCCAGTGCTCTGAGATTCAATTCCCTGTGGCCACTGCTGGGTAACTCCTTTCTTTTCCATTTTCTCATCTGGAAAATCAGGATGTGAATCGCCATTCTCCCTCATCATGTTTCAAAGAGGGTTAATTAATTCATCATGTGCATTATGTGCTCAAGAATTTACTATATTTCAAATGTTTTCTAGTAAAACTTTGGAGAGTATATATCCATTTGTTTTGTACACATGGAGCACTGTTTGGTACACATCATAAAACTGAGACTGTAGTTTACATTCTGAACTCAAAGAATTACACTATCCTCCCTGATGTTTATAATAGGTCCCAATTTAGTTTCCCTGGTACATTTTATGTAAGTATGACTTTGATTCTGTCTGTTGCCCAAGGTTTTTGTGAGGGAAGAATTGTAAGTTAACCCATATCGAACCTTTTCTGTCTTCTAAATTTGTGCTTTCCCACCTTGGCTCATGTAGAATTGAATGCTGCTCTTTAGTTGGAATCTTGGAGAGTTTTTGATGCATTTCAGTATCGTTTCCACTCTCTGACTTGTTGAGTAACATTTTCCAGAAGCTAATTAACTCCTCCAGGAGGATCTGCTTATAGCTTCACCAAAAGCTTGTTCAAGTTATCTTTGCTCAAGCAATTGATCCTCACTTCATAAGTCCCAGAAATCTTTTCCCAGAACTCTTCTGTTCTTCCTATATCTTATTTCTTCAAATGTCACAGCCAAATTTAGAGCAAAAGTTAATAAACAATTTTTATAAAGGCTCAGAAAATACATATTTTAGGCTTTGCAAGTCATATGATCTCTGTCTCAACTACTCAGCTGTGCCTTTATACTGTGTAAGTAGCCATAAGTAATACACAAATTAATGGGTTTAGCTGTGTTCCAATAAAACTTTATAGGCACTAAAATTTGAATTTCATTATTTTTCACATTTATTAAATACTACTATTCTTTAAAATTTTTTCAACCATTAAAAATTGTAAGCTAAGAGTAGTGGTGCATGTTTGGAATCTTAGCCCTCTGGGAGACTGAGGCAGAAGAATCACAAAGTCAAGGCCAGCCTGGGCAACTTAGGAATTTATCAAGATCATGCCTCAAGGAAAAAGAAAGGCTGGAGATACAACTCTGTACGAATGCTCTGAATTCAATCCCCAGTATATAAAAAAGATAAAAATTAATTTCATAGGCATCAAAAAGAGTTTATACCTTTCAAAAACAGATGGTAGACTACATTTGATTGGTAAGTGCAGGTTGTTTACCTCTGCTTCTGATGGTCTCTCTTATGCTAACAAGTCTACATTATGAATTTTTATTTCTCCATCTTCCTCATAGATTATTGATTATCTGATTTTTAAAATCTTTCACAGCTCGCAAGGTTTGCATAGAATGCCTAGCGTAATAGTCTCTTAGTCCTTTACTGTTTTTAACTAAGCAAGAGAAAACATAGATCTAAGAATGCTAGAAAAGTATACTGTTTCTTTGTGAGCTAGTAGAGCAGTTCCCCTTACAATACACAAAGAAGGAACTGAAAATATTTGACATTTTTTATAAACTTTTGTACAATAAGCTTTTGGATGACTATGA